ATCTAAAATACTCAACACCCTGTACCTGAGCTTCTACAAAGTGCCACTGTACTGATGAGCAGCTTGTTCACTAAAACGGGTGAGAGAAGAATTGGCTTGAACTATCTTCAGGCAAATCAGCTGGGTCCTGTCACTGAAGGGAGGGGAAAAGAAAATGGTGAAATCTCCTCAACTCTTTCCTTTCTAGAGCAGCAGCAAGGAAATACCATAGCCTCTACTGTAAATTACACAGCAAAAATGCTATTTTGGACACCAATTCTATACCTGGTTACTTGGAAAGTAACTGTGGAATGTAATACATGTAGATGTTCCTTCTGAAACAAAGCCAGTCGTAGATACCCAAAAGCTACCAAACCACCCTCACCCCCCAAATCCAGCCAGTGGCTGTAATTTCCTCTCTACCACACAACTAAAAAGCATTTATATGGGTATATGTCCCCACAGAGCTTTGTAAGAGCAAAGACAAAGACAGAGTTATGGCTTACCAGATCCAAATGCTTGATTGTAACCCTGCCTCAGGGTTACCTTCCTGTAACTAATTTAAAAGCTCATTTAAAATGAACAAAATTTCAAGGTACAGTGAGTATTTTTGAGGTCAGCCCAATGAAACTATGTAATAAGGACAATACAGCAGTATTAAAGACATGATACATTGCTAGAGTAAATACTACTATAGCTTTGGAGAGCCTGATGTATGGATAACTTCTTGGAGTTTATTTACCCTTTCTTGTGGTGATGCGTGCTGTGGCATTTTCACACAAAAAAAGTTCTTTGGGAAAATGTCAACAAGATACTTCATAGACATTTTCAGACTATTACATAAGAAGATGGCACAGATATTTCCTTCCCACAGAAATTAAATTGGTGTTCAGGGAGAAAACCAATATTTCAACCTCCTGAAGATTGAAGTTAACTTTACCTACCAATCATGAAAGCTGGGGGGTAAGGGACAGCACTTGGCTGATGCATTTTTGGTGTCTCAGACAGACAGATCTGGGTAATTCTGCAGTTTAAAAATGCTACCGCCCCTAGCTTTCCATCCTGCTGCTCTGCCAGAGATTACTGCTCTTGTAGCAGAAGAAACAAAAGACAGTGCACTGTTGTCCCCTCTTCTGTAAAAGCGCAAGGAGGGGAGGGCTCAGTGCTGTATTGCAGATACTCTAGTTCTCAGCCTGGTAGCTTAGCAAAATGCAGTGGACTTTGAACTGGGGTTTCTGATGCAGAGGCACCTGCTCTCAGCTGCTACCTCCTTTCCAAGCAGAGTAGCCTCTGATATAAAACCAAACCAAACCAACAAAATCAGGAAAAAAAAAATGAAAAAATAAAACAAAACAAACCACAACAAAAACCAAAACAAAACACCACAAAAAAACAACCAAAAACTCAAACACACAACAGAAAAACCCTCAGATAAGTAGAGAACTGAGAAATTAATTTCCTAGGCTCTTATTACTAGATGCTAGGCTCTTATGTTAGAGGAATATTCCAAAGTGATGATTCTTAGAGTATAACATACCATATTAATTAAGACTCCCAAAAAAATCTTTGAAGGAGACTATTTAGAAAAGTCCTCAGTACTATTAATGTGAGCACTGAATAGGGCTGTTTATGGGTGCTATTACCTGTAATACATGAACTGAAGCTAATGCTCTTCAGAGGAGAAAGTAGAGCCATTAACAACTCAAAGATTTCCTCATAATACCTTTTGTACACATTGATCTGTTTCCTGCTATTAAAAACCGACCAAACAAAAAAACCACAAAGAAGGCAAAAATATTTAATAGATGATATTGTCCTGTGAAAATGGACTTGAAGCCCTACCCAGTCAGATGTCAAGGGCAATAAAACTCTAAGCATTAATCCCTGGGGAATAGTACCATGTTGCAGAGAATCCCAAAGATGAAAAGGTTCTGAGTAAAGGCCTCTTTCCAGGGAATTTCTGGAGAAAAGCATTTATGTATCCTAATTTCCCCTAGTAACCTCACCAGACCATGGTCAGGACAGCAAGCAGATTTGGTCTGAGAAGCAGATGAAATTTGCTCTTTCAGTGAATGTAATGTTAAGGTTGTTAATGTAAGAAAGTTAGACTGCTGTAACCTTGGAGAGAAAAGGGCAGACTCTGCCATGGAAGTCAGATCCCTAAAGAAAAAGAAACTGTCCTAAACTTGTAATGTTAACACTCTCAAATGGAATCTGAGGGAATCTGCCAAGTCCTTCACTAACTTCACCTGTGTTCAGCTATTGGTGCAGGTGATCTGGGATGGCACATGAAAGCTGAGCCCCTTCAGCTGTTCCACAGTGCTGGGTCTTTCCAGTGATGCCTCCTGACTGTTTCACAGCAGCTGTGCCCTGTCTGCCCCACTGCTCTGCCCAGCACAGAGACAGACCAGCAGAGACAAGCTCATTCTATTACAGCTCCCACTAAAAACAGGTGAAAGCTGCATATTCCCTCCACTTGTGGTGCAGCTTGAAAACAAAACTAAAATACCCCCAAAGCAACCAAAGGAAAACCCAGCCCCCTTACCCCAGCCCCAAACATCCCACATTCAAATCCAGTAAGGTATTAAAATGAAAATGTCTAAGTGTTCTTAGTAGGACTCAATCCCAAAATATACATAGACCATCCTCCTCCCTTTTGTCAGTCAAATACAATGCTTTGGTAATCTAACTCCTGACTATAACTCATATATACATACACGTGAATTGTAATTGTACATACGCCACCTGTATTTTCCCCGATCTTTTTTTTTTCTTTTTCTTTTTGGTTACCCTTTGAAGCAAGCCATTCTAGGCAACAGGGACAGACCATCCTCTCCTCTCCCAAAAGAGTAACCTTTCTGCAGGGGCCTCTCCAATCCAAATGGTTAGGAATCCAATACACAACAATCTTGCAGAAATCAGCTGCCAGATTTATTATTCTACCTGATAACCCCCAAACAAAACAAAACAAAAAAAAAACCCAACCCCAAACAAACAAAAAAGTGGAATAAAAATAGACTTTAAATAAACCTCTTAGGTACATTTTAAAAAGGGTTAATCAGTTCAGTGAAAGACCTTTTTGTCTTCTGCTGAGAGATCATGTAATGTTGGTCTGACTGCTTGTTTTGTTCAGTGAGTCACTACCGTATACAGATATATATATATTTTTTCTTCTTAAATATTACACATTCAGTGCAATTTTAAAATCTTTTTTTTCTTTTTTGTCCAACCCCTTTCCCAAATACCCACATCCTGCCACAGCCAAGAGGCGCTCTGTGCTGACATTAAAGAACCAAAACCAATCCAAGAACTTTTCATCAAAGCATGTTTCATTTGAACCTTATTTCAATGGAAACCACATTTTTTTAAACAATATTACTGAACATTTTCCCTTTCCTTTTTGCTAGTTCTGCAATTTTAGACTTCTTTTTCTCAGCTGATCACCAAGTATTTAAGTGCCATTGAGACCTATGAATGACAGAATTAGGTGGCATATTAAGGCATATATCATAAAATATGTTGTCTCATGGATCTGGGTAAATTAAATACCTGCCCAAATGCTTTTTATGCACCTGTGGTTTCTAGTGACCACTACTTCTTTATTTTGATTAAATGTGTATTAAAATATTCATAACTTAAGTAGTGTCTTAACTGACAAAGGATGGAAGATTAACCCACCACCTAGGACTGTCTTTGAAATCCATCCATTATGATGAAAGTTATTCTTGTCTTTTTATGGTTATGTATTTATTTTTCTCCCACTTCTTGACAATCTAGGAAAACAAGGTACTTCATATAACAACTATTTAAATTTCACTGGGCAAAAAATTAAATCCAATTCTTAGCTTCCTCTCCATCCCTCCAACTTATGAATTATTGTATTTCAAAAAAGGTGCTCATAAATATTTTAAACTTTTGGGGTTTTGCCGCTTTTTGTTTTACATACAGAATAGCACATGTGGTTTGTGTCCAAGGTAACCCCTCTCAAAACATAAAACAATTTGAAAAAATAACAAAACAACCAAAAAAACCCCTCAAAATTTAAATTGTCTTCCGAGCATATCCGATCACATTTACATTTAGTGTCCAAAAGAAGTTGATTGGTAACACCAGTGCCAGCACTACAACGTCATACAGCAACTTCATGGTATTCTTTGACAGTTCATCTCTGTTCCACCGAAAATTACAAAAGGTTCTGCAGAGCTTTCCTTAGCAAGCTGAAGCTTACTAGTCATTTGTGGATGCGCATAAAAGCTGCTTATAGCACAGCTATGGCGTAAGCTATTTTCTAAGCAATAAATGGTTCAAGTCATCTATTTTGTCCTGAAATGCTACCTGTAGTTACAGCATTGCTTATAAATGGTCATAGTAAATTCAGCATCAAAGAGAATATTACAGAAAAAGACAGCAGCAGAAGCATTAGCATTATCTAGTATTTATATATGTTATCAACATAACACAGCAGTAAAAGGTTTAAATGCATATTAATGGGTACCGTGTCTAAAAATTACTAAAGTACCTATTTAGTGTATTGGATATTTTTCTCAAGGAGTGCTTGCTGTGTCTAAACAGCATAATTAGATATGTGACTTAGTACAGTTAATTCCTATTGATTAAATAACTTATTTATGTACCAAAGGAAATGGAAGGATACAAAATGTTTTCTCCCTCCTGATCATGATCCTGTATTTAATGCTGACATGATCACCAGAAAGCCTACTCCATGTAATTACTACCCTCAAATGGATTTTGAAAAATCAGCGCCATAGCATGGGCCATATATGTATAGCAATGTGGCACCAGATACAGCATGCAGCTTGCAGTCTGAAGTCAGGGATTTCACTGCTTGGTCACTTTACTTATGGCCAGTCTGTCATTAAATAGGATTTTTTTTTAAGTCATACACAAAAAAAAAAAAAAGAAAAAACAGAAAAAGAAAGAAAAAGAAAGGAAAAAAATAGCAAAACTATCTGGTTGTTCACAGAGGCAAGGTAGAAGTTCTGCCACTGGAAACTTCAAAATTAAATGCTGTGGTATATGCTTTGCTTCTCTTTTATTACTACAGAAAGACAATTAGGAATGGCAAGAAACAAATGCCCTAGGCATGCTGTGCTGATATCATCATCAAAAGTGGTTATTTTGCACAATGAGAATTAACTGTACTACGGATACCCAGAGAAAATGTACAATATCTTATGCCGATATGAAACAAAACAGACATGATATAGCTTTTTTTGTACTTAAAACCTGTATGTTCCCTTCCCAAACTTAAGTAAAAAGCAAACCCACCCTTTTCCTCCTTTTACACAGAATAACATTTAGGTTCCAACCCTCCCCTTTCAAATAAAGTGCGCTGTCCATGGCAGACCATAGGAGTAATGCAACAGGAAAAGCCCCTTTTTAGTGTACTATTTAAAAAACAAACTGAAGTCGATTCAGCTTTCCTCTGGGTCTTGGGAAAGAGGAGAAGCTTAAGGGAGGGGGAAACACCCCTTCAGTGTCACTGTTGTTAATAGACATAGCCTTCGTTGTAGGGGTGGGTGTTGCAGCAGCCCCCGTCCTGCATGTAGACCATGCTCTCGTCGAAGTGGGACAGAGGCACAGTGTCCTCCTCATTGATGTGGCGCTCCATGTCAGTCTTCAGCAAGGGGCGCTGGTTGTCGGGAAAAGCCATGGAGAAAAGCGCTTCAGGGTCACAAACAAACTTGTAGACGTATCTTTCTCCAGCCACCTTAGGACAACAGAAGGGGAAAAAAAGGTGCAGTGTAAGGCCCCGTGTTTCGCAGCTCCAAGTTCAACAGTCTTGCAAAGAACTCACCTTTGTTACACAATTAATAACGAAACAGCAGAACTGGTGAGGTAACAACCTAGCAAAGACAAGTGGGACCTGCCAAAGCAGACTGTGCAGAATGCTCTTGATTTTGCCACTCATGACATCCTGTTGGAAGATGAACTAAGTATTCTGCTTCTAAACATTTGTTTGAGACCGCTTCCTATACTTAACCACAAATGGAACTGTTCTTATTGGAAAATGTAAACAAATTGTCACTACAGTGGCAAAATAAAATTACACACTCCGTGTGCGAAGTGGAAAAAAGAATCACATTGCACTGCAGAGATCTGGATTTCACTTTACAGAGATTGATTCATGCTTACGTATAAAAGCACTTTAGTTATAGTGCCTGCTGATTGTACAGGGACAGTGTAAGCAAATACGTAGGCTAATATGTACTTAGCAATTGCTCATGCAAAGCTGGGACATTTGGATTTGCTTATGGAGGGGCAATTTGTCCAAAGATCCTAAAGTTTTCCCTTAATCAGAAACAGCTTTAAATGTCTAGGCTTCAATTTCCTAAAAGCTAGAGAATGCTAAAAACAACATAAAATTGCTGTCTTATTACAAGCAACAAACAGAAGTCAATATAGTGTATTCTCAAGTAGCTTATTTTAAAAATTGTGCTTAAAAATATGCATTAGATTGCATGCTCACAATTTATTAAAATGATTTTAAAATAAAATCATATTGTCTGCTTCTTGAAACTCCAGCTACCATAGCAATGAAGTGAGTTAGTGAAGAGAGAAAAAGTGTTGCAAACTTAACAACTCTCTTCCTATGGGTGCAAAATAGTGTGAAGCACCTCCTTAAACTTTCAGCTCATTTATTCTACAAATAGAATTTGGTATGGACTGTATCTGCAGCAGAATTTTAAAAATCAAATTAATGTCAGCAAGTTTGATAGACTAGAAGTTGCACTCAGAAATCAGGCTTTTGCATAACCTGCTATCATTGTTGATTTAAAAAAAAGGGAGGGAAAATATGCATACAAACTTTGCCATAAAGAAACCTGCTTTGCATCTACTACGCCCATTAGTTTTTAACATACATGAACTGGCCAGACAGAGTGATCCCAGGAAAAATACAAAACATTGCTATGTCAGAAAAATAAGCATACAAGCTAGCTTTCAAAACATGTGTTAAACCCATTCTTGTAGATAATAAAGTAGTAGTTTAGGATGTAGCAAGCTAGCTGTCCAAAGCACTTGTAAGCTATACACATTAAATGGATGTGTGGGTTGGGGCAGCATTATCAGCCTTCTGGTATTTCTATCCCCACCTTTTCAACTTGCTTCACTCTGCCACTTTTTTTTGCCTCTGCTGCCTTTGAAGTGTGCTGGCAGCACAGTTGCCTATGCTGCTGAGCTGTAACCTGCAACAAGGAACTCCTCTGCCTGAAGCACCAGTCAGCAAAACCAAACACTTCTGGTTCTCTCTGATCAGACCTAGTCTCAAATCCACTTTACAAAGACTCTGTGCACTGTTACATGACACACAAAAATGAATGAGGTGCTGAGCTACTGAAGAACTGTAAGCCAATACTAGCCCAGATTGTTGTCCCAGTTGACAACTGGTAGTGAAAAAGGAGTGCACTACAACAATCCTATAATCTAAGAAAGAGAACTTTTCAGACTTCACAAAACCTACCAGAAACGTTGCCCGGTAACCTGAGCTAAGAGCATTGTTTCCATTCATGGAATTGGCATATGACAAGTTTAAACATGTTCATCATCACTGGTCACAAGACCAATATGAAAAGACATGGAATAAGTTTTGCAGTCCAAGGTGTTTATTATGATCTTTGATCACACCTGGCAGTTTTGTAGATACAGCAAACTGGCCTCTCCTATTGATTTCTCAGTCAATCTACACAGTACTGCACAGCAAGATTTAAAAATCAGCAGGCCACAGTAGGAGGATGGCTTGAATACTGTCAGCAAGACTAGCCCGTAATAGATAAATTATTGTTATACATTTCTCTTAATTCAGTCTATTATAAATATTAAAATCCATTCAAAACCACTATTACTACAACACTATTGGTAAAAATATTAAAGTACTTGGTATGTTAATAGGCATAATTATTCTCCCCTATCTTGCACTTACTAAAGTACCCAAGCACTGGGCAGATAATTTAGATCTGAAAAACATTAATCATACTGTACTCTACCATTTGCCTTTTCCAGCTGCCAGGAAGCTCTTTTGGATATTTTTGAATGTTACTTCTTTCCTTATAATCATGAAATGCATTGTGTGAACTGAAACCACAGATGTTTTTTACATAGAAAAAAAAATCTTAATGCATATGTTGTACATAGTAGGTTCAAAAGCTTAGTGTTTGCCAAAACAGATGAAAAAAACTACCTTAACCATGCAATTACAAGAACTCCTTGTAAACTGACCTATGGATTAACATGCAAGACTCTGGTGAAATGTAATACAAAATTAGCTACTCACCTTTTGCATGATTCCCTTTTCATAATAATAGCGAAGCGATCGGCTAAGTTTATCATAGTTCATAGCTGGCCTGTTTTTCTGAATCCCCCAGCGACGTGCCACCTGCCACAAAAATGGATTAGCAATGATTTGTTAAATGCATTTAACAAGCAGATCTTATCATCAGATACTTTATTTGGGGATGCAGGAGGGAAAACCCTGCAGGTGCAACAAATAGGAAAAGGTTGCTATGACCTGAATTTCCCATGTACTGCTATGAATTTTAATTGGATCTGCATCATCATTAAACTTGTAACAGACTTATTGGACAATGTGGTGGATGGCTAGGGTTTTTCTTTGCTTTTTAATAAAGAAAACCAATGAAAAAATAAAGCCATATAAAGAGATGATGGACAAAAAACATTTAGTAAGTTCTACCAGAAAACTTTTACAAAACCTTTCTTCAGTTTGATACTATGGATAATTGTACCATGTCTATCTTTTCTTTGCTGTCAGGAAAAAAAGTAAGTTATTTTAAAAACACATGCATACATACTTAGTTCATGAACTAATACAGACTGTACTTGGAATGACAGCTGTGTTGGAATTATTAGGAGATATAAGTCAAAAGACAACTCCCAGCCCTAAACATTACTTCAGTAAAAAAAATTAATTATCTAAGGAGGCAGAATAATCACTTGGAAGAACTATATGGTGGTATGAAGAATGGAACAGAAATTTCATAGTTTCAGCTCTATAATTTCCCCTTAAAAATAACAATAAAAAGTGAATTGCAAGTAACTCATGAAACGATTCCATAGAGAACAATATGCCTTCTGCTCTGACTTATGTTTTCTACTTGACTTTATGCTTCCTGTTTTATTGCTAAAGATAGTTTTGGACAAAGCGACCCTTTGTTTAAAGAGCTTAACTTCTTATTCCTTGCCTGAAATTTAATCGGCTATTGGTGACATTTCAATTACTGTCTGTAAAAATGACTGTAATATCACCTGAGGGAAAAAAAGGCAGAGCTGATGAACTCTTTAAAGCACATTTTATAAAAATGATTGAGAGGTGCATATGCATACAGCTCTGGAAAAAGGACAGAGTAGCCAAGCAGCTTCTCTGCAGACTGCTCTGCGAAACTTCCCATAGGTGTCTGGAGCTTTTTGATGCAAGCCATGGCAACACGCAGCATTAAGAAAAATCTATGATTTTGGTGTCCACCTGGACTATAATTTCTAAAATTTCTTTTGAAAGCATTATTTCCTTTCAGTGGTGCAGCTTTTCAGGGTTATGTAAATTATCACAGTTCTGCTAACTTCAGCTACATTTCAGCTGTACTGAAACACACCTCCAATCACGTACATTTATTCCAGCTGCAGATTTGGCCCAGATGTCTAACTTTGATTCACCTATTCATTTTTGTAACACATGAGCACATCATTCCTTTTTTATCCCTTCCAAGGTTTTTTTCTGCATTAATCGGAGTCCTAAATGTCCCCAACATAACAGGCTTGCAAAATAAATAATTACACAACAAAGATAAACAACAAGTAATGGTGAAGAATATGTTACATTTGTGGTATTTTGAGACTCCTAAACAAGCAGTCAGGTCCAGTTCCCATCCCTGAACTGCACAGCATTTACCTAGTCCTGCTCTGCGGAAGGGATTCCACTCTTCTACCCTACCTTCCTGCTGAAGGTTGTGGTCCCTGTGACAAGCCTGCATAAATGGACCTATGCCCAATTCTCAGGCTCCACAGTTCACAGTCACTTAATTCCTGAATGACCTATGGCACTCCAGGAGCCGATACATATTCATTTGTGTTGTCACTCTCTAAGAGGGCGTAAACCTCCAATAAGGAATGGATGGAAAGGTCATGTCACTGACATCCTGGCTTGCCACAGCAGAACCAACAAGCTCTTTGATTTCCCTTCAATTTATACTAGGCAACCAACAGAATTGTGTAACTTCCCATAGGCTATTCTTATTTTAATTGACTGTTTCTCTCAGATTCATGACATTGATTAAAAAAACAACTTAAAGTCCTTTGTACTTCTAGGAACACACAGAGTGAGGCAACCTTCAAGTCTCTTCCAGATCTTGGATGCAATGCTGCTCAAAAAGCAACTTCTACATAGCCAGACATGCAGATGATCTGTTTAAGTTAAATTAGAAGATCCAATTCTTCAGGGAATTACACAATAAGGAAAACAGGGGTTTGTTACTTTCCTTTCCTTAGCTAATAAATCTATAAAGTTTTTGCACCATCTGCTGGAAACCATTTCTCAATAAAATGCTTCAATCTTTAAAAAAATTGGGCATACCTCAAAGACAAGACAAAACTGAGAGAGTAAAAATATGAGACTAGGGTAGGGGGAAAAAATCATGTGCAACATTCACCAAAACCAAACAAAAAACTTTCCGAAGATTTTGCTCTGTTCTTAGACAGGTTACACAACTAAGGAATCCATGTAGCCGGCTAAGGCTGCAGGCTTGCCAGCAAAGAATCAGGGTCATATTGACTAGAACTATTCTGAGTTCAAATCCTCAGATACACAATGGCAGGATCTGCCATGGGGACTATCACTAGAGCAGGGGATGCTCAGACAACGAGAGCCAGCACCTGGGTCCTTGCAGCAACCTGCTCCTCAGCTAGACCACGTCAGGAAGGAAAGGGACATCAGTCCTGGGACCATCCCCAGCTGCTCCAACTTCTCCACAGGATTAGCAGACAATGTAAGTAACATGCAAGAAAGCTTTCAGACTCCTAATGCCAGTAGATGGATGGCAAACAGCAGAAATAGCTGGTGGAATGCAGAAGCAGCCATAAACCCCAAGCCTTCCCACTCAGCTCTAACTCAGAGGGGATCCTGTCAGAAAATTTGATGAAGTCCTCTCTATTAGAAAACCATATTCAAGGGGCAAGAAAAGTAAAGCAGAATGATACTGCCTTTTGACAACCCTAATTAAATCCTCCACTTAAATTTTACAACAAAATTCACATACACCTGATCTTCCAACAATTTCCATGACAGTTTAGAATGCAGGCTAGGTTACATAACACTACCTAGTCCAAAACAGTTTACATAATAAAACATTCAATTTATTCCTGCTTATCACACAAGTGAACTAAGACACGCTTCAACAAATGTTCATGAATATTTTTAAGTCATTTTATCTACCCCATGGTACAGAAGAGCCATGCATGTGCATGAGTGTCTGCAAGCCCAGGATCTAAGCCTGTACTAAACAGTCTAATGATTCAATCTAATGAATCCAATATTTGGTGTTGAAAGACTAATAAGGGACAAGTTTTCAAAGGATTTTGGGATACAGTTACATCCATAAAGTGATTCTGAAATATGCAGACACCACAATTAATGTGAACTATTTACTAACTCTAGTACTTGCAACATTTTTATTGTTTTGTGGGACCAGGAGTCAAATCTATGCTTAGCCACACTTCTGTCCTAACTGAAGCACTTCTCTTGCCAGTCCTTTCTGTCACCCTTCTAAAGCACTACTGAAGCAAAAACAAGGAAGGAAGGAAAACAAGGCCTAATTCCAAAGCAGCACAGTTAAGTTTGCAGGATGGGGCAGTGGATGTGAGGGCATGCTGTCTGTCTAACTCACCTCCTCTGGCTCAATCAGCTTGAACTCCATGCCTCGGCCAGTCCATGCTATGAAGTGAGAGTTTGATGGGTCGTCCAGAAGAGCTACCAAGAACTGCCAGAGCTGAAGCGAGCCTCGCCGCTGGTACGTGGGTCCCTCGCGGTACATGCCTGGCTCCTGTTTGACATCTCCTGCACACAACAGCAGCAATGTTAGAGGAGCAATGCCCTGGAACACCATCACTCACTTTGTCAGACACGTTGGCAAAGCAATCATTAGGGGTAACAAAACAAAGGGAAGAATCAGCCACCCTCAAATGCAACATTCCCCTGTTTGCTGGGGACTTACAATAACATATTAATATACTAAAAAGCATTTAAATTCATTCATGATGTATGGAAGTCTCACTAAGTCATGTAGGTCTGATAAATGCAAATCTCTTGCAAACCATTTTGTAATATCTTCTCTTTGAAAGCACATTAACTATTTTTGAAGCAGCTCTGAAATGTGCAGAACTATGTTTGTGTACTATACTTTGCACAGGCCCCAGTTCTGGTAAAGTAATGTAGGCTTCATAAAGGTGCAAAACTCTATTGAGTGAAACTTCTCTTGCATGCAAATGCTTCTAAGGAAATTTTGACATAGTATTTGACTTGGACTTAAACAGCATGTCCTTTATGTATAGGCATGTAAATCCTTCAGATACACGAGTTCCTCTGTGGCATACTGGACTTGCATATGAGCAAAATTACTTTAACTCGTATCTACATATTAAACTAGTATTCCCTCTGAAAAGCAATAACTTTAATAATAATAAATAATAAATTTTTCTAAAATTTTAAGTCTAGAAAAACATTTTTAAAAATATCAGTAACATTCGACTAGCTGTTCCACAAATTGCCAATGAGAAAACCATCCTGTTACATCCATGCTGTCTTTGTTGTTTTTAAATCATATTTATACTGAACAACTCATGCAAACAACAACAACTGAAAGGTCTGATGCTGAAGCAGACAGTATTTTTTTCTCCACACAATGACTGCAATCCTACATATACTGGTAAATTCCTCATTTCAACTATCAGAACAGCAAAAGCCTCCAACAGTGTGACCTGTTTAATAAGGAAAGTCAGGAATTTAAATTCAGCCACAACATTAGGATGCTCTGCCAGCCATTACAGAATGGCTCTGCGTAGTGAAAGGCAGAATAATAATATTAAAAATGGAGCACTTCCTTTTGTAATCAGGAAAGAAAATTGACTCAATAGCTGTGGAAAACAAATAAATCAGCACAAGGCTTTTTGGTTTATGTGAGGTTCAAGTTCCAGTCCTGAAAGTCCTTCTTTTTCAAGGGCAGGTTTTTCCCTTGTAATGATAGCTGTGCAATGTGCAAATAGCAAGCACAGTATTACACAGGATCAAATTCTTTCCTTGTGCTGATCTTTGATTTCAAATGAAGCAGCTGAGAATCTACTTCTGAAACACCATGGCTAGTCCTGGGCTTATCCAACTTTTCCTTTACTGGCAAGAATATGATGACACATCTGCTATTTTTCCCTCAAAATATCATGCTGCAAGCATAAACACACCTATTTGCATCAAGAGTTCAATCTTCTAGAGTACAAGGTGTTCTCTCAATGGACAGTAATAGAAACTAGCAGCAGACTGTTTGCTGTGCAGGCACAAAAATACTTCTTAACATTTAATTCTTTTACTGTACTTGTATTTTTTTTAATTTTCATTCTCTTTCCTGTATAATACCCAAATTAACCAAAAGGTTTTTTAAGGAAGACATAGACGAATGCTACTGTTAATGACTCTTAACTTCTTGAATTACAGGGTCTGATCCCATTCCCATAAATGTACATATAAATCTGACACTGGTGCTTAGATCAGATCCACAATCATTTTTGGGGAACAAAAAAAATACCTGACACAATGTGCTTTAAAAAGAAATGTTAAAAAAATCCAAACAAGCTCACATTACAAAGCCACAGTATAAAGCAGACTTTCAATAAAACACTCTGTGACTGTGTCAATGCAGTGACAATGCAATACTGAATTGAGCAGCCTTCAGTTAGGTCTAATGTTGTTTAAAACTCTTTTATCTATTTCTTAGCAACATAAAAATACATGTGATACTCTGAAGAATGTGCAGTTCTCTGGGTTACTTTCATTTCAGAGTCTCCAGATTTTCAGCAAATACAACAAATGCTGCTAAACACGCAATAGTTTTGTAATCCATAAGTGAGTCTCAGGACAAAACAAACAAAATAAAGTAGGAGAAAAACACCAATTCTACAGCCCTACTTTTAGCTGTGGTCAAAGATTTGTTCACAAGTTTATCAGGAAATATCTAATCTTTCCTGCTGAAATAAATAAAGCCAGACATACACACACTAACACAAAAGCTATACTAACAACACTACACTAGCATGCATCCACTAATATAATGCCATTCTAGCAAATTTAAGTAATTGGTCTCTAAATTACTTCCCAAAGTTGCAGACTAACAGAGTCACTGGCAAGAAATACAGTGTCCATCTACTTTGCTTCTAATGAAATAAATCTGAAATCAACTGAGTTACACCAGGAAACTGATTTTACATCAGAGTAACTGAGGATAATTTGGACCATTCATTTTAATTGACCTCAGAATTCCTCTTTAAAAAATCTGCTGTAATTGGTAGTTTTGTGAACAGGTCATTGATTTGTTATCAATCCCACTGAAAAATAAACCACTAGTACATTCAGCCTAGCGCAAATACATTGGCATAAACACAAAAAATGCACTATATACTCACTTCTCACTATTCATCACTTTGTAGACAGCAAGACAAGAGGCTTAATCCTCAGTCAAACCAAAGCTGCTGCTTTCTCCACTGTTTTGTTAATTATAAGTACAGCTTTCATTACATCTCAAGCAACAATATGTGATCATCAGTGCAATGGAAATCCTCTAATGACTTCTCAACAGTACAAAACTGAGCTCCTTTGCCACGAGTCTGGATGCAGCATCTTTCACTGGCAAAAGTCAAATGACATCCTCTTGAAGAGGAGACTTTGGTTTCAAGAGACAAAGGTCAGCTTTGGTTGGGTGCACCACAAATGGTGTGTTAAGGAATCCTAAATTGGAACGTTACTGGGCTTTTTTGATCAGCAACAGAGAAAAGTCCCTCATCTCTTTTTCATCTCCCTGCACAGGAAAAAGAGATGTGTCATACATACCGTCAAACTTCTCTGGAACAACACAAGTGTCATCATAAAACTGCCTAGGTCCCTTTTCATACATACAGCCTGTAAGTTGAAAAGAGAGAGGTGTTTATATAAAAGATGCATGGAGAAAAAAAGAGATCGCAGGCTTAATGCCAGAGGGAACACTAAGTTATACAGGAATCAGATTAATATCCCACATCCTTTAGACACCGCCCAATCCCAACATTTTGGCCTAAGTACAAGGGTGTTTAATTAACATATGCATTCCCAAAAGACTGTTAATCTCCACCTGCTAAAAAGAAAAAGCACCCATATTTCTCTATGAATTATTACAAAATGTTTGCTCATTTCCTGTTTGAACTAGCATGGCTTTGACATTTAACCATTAGTTCCTGCAGATCTTCTCCCTGCAAGACTAAGAAGTACCACTCAGCATTTCCTCCTCACACCCACACAGGTCACCCTCACACGCTGCTCTTGATGTTCCTTCCAATTAAGATAATTTTGTAAAATTTTATTTTGTCATTAAAAGACACTGTCTACAACCCAGCAGCCTTCCTAGCACACCATTCTGTACACATTCCTGCTATTTCCTATTATGCTCACGTTTTGCCTAACCAGAACTGTATTGCATATCGATATCAGTTTCACCAGTGCTACTGAGTGAGACAAAACATCTCCTCTCCTGCAGCCTGGGACCCTCCTTTTGACTGCCTAAGCATTGCAGAAGGCTTTTTGCCTTAAGGTTACAGTGCTTGGTTGGGCTGGTTTCCCACTGTGAAGCTGAGGAGGAGGCCCACCTCAAAATCCTTTCTTCCAATATATTGTTTCCCTGTTCCACAGGCCTGATTTACATTCATGTATTAAAAAAACATTTTGTTTAATGTGCCCAGATAACCAAACAATTCAAACTGCTTTGTGACTGCCCTGTTCTGCCCGTTATTTACTGCTCTATCTTTGTGCCATAAAGTTATCTATTAACTTTGTTCCATATCTTTACTGAAAATATTGAATAGCAACACTCCTGATATCAATTCCTACAGAACTATAATCCATTCAGAGATGATTGCCTGCTGACAGCCTCTTTTAGATCTGTCAGTTGGCCAGGTCTTAATGTATTTAATGTGTACTTTATTGATATTGCTTTGTGCTAACTTCTTAATCAGAATGTAACACGGAGGCAAATTGAATGCCATAAAAAGTCAAACTATACGATACAAGCATCTTTATCAATCAAACTTTTATTTTCAGCAAAGAACAGAATCAGATTTGACATGACCTTTATTCTGTAAAATTATGTTGATTGATTTCCAAATACAGAAAACAAATATTTAGCTAACATCACTGCTTTTTTACGTCATTCATGAAAATTCTGCCACCTCCAACTCCTTATAAGACCATAATATGGATAAGATGGGTTTTCCCCTATCTGTGCTATGATTAAAACTAAAACTCTTTTGCCCTTATCCCTGCAGTTTGTTTATATTCTTCCTGATGTCTCTCACCTCCCTTACCAAACTTCTATACTACATATAATTTCATGTAACAAGACTTGAAATTCCCATCTCCTGTTTTACCTTCCTTTTTAAACACTATCTCTTTTTTTCTGTCTTTATTTCAACCCAGAAGCAGATGGGATTTCAGCCAGATGTGTTATCTTTTTGCTTCTATCTTTACACTAGCAAATGAAGTCTTCCTGGAAGACTTTGATTCATACGTCTATCTGGATTCTCATCAATCTCAAAACCAGATTGCTCATGTTTCTGAAATTTGCCCACTGGAAGAAAAATAAACCCTAAACAAACAAGCAGAAAATAATATATTGCTAAGACAGATAAACTAAAACAGAACAGTCGAGGCTACAACCTCTCTTTCACAGTCATCTTAGTTCTGTTGGACTTCTTATTTCTAGTACATATAAAGTTCTGTTACTCAGAATTCTTAATTTTGACAATTATGTAAGCTCTGTCCTACTGAAATCATTGGGAATTCTGGTACATCTCAATTTGGGCATAAAGTGCATCAAAACATTGCAAAAGTAATAGCAAAAGGAAAAACCCAAAACCTTCACTGAATTTAAAGTATAAAATGGATTACTTAACACAGTTAACTGAGCCTGTCATGCTAACAGCCTGGAAAATACCACTTGAGCAGAATGGGTGAAACAGACAAATTTTTAATGTGTCTTCCTTTCAACTGCTAGAGGCCTTGAAAAGCAGAATAAGTTCATAATATAATTGCTTCTATCCTGATCAACCCATGGCACTAAAAGAACTACAAAAATTCAGTGCATCAGAAACTCAACACTGAAAAGGGAAAGAAGGATGATACAAGTCTTCCCAGAACCAGAATTAAACTAGTGAGCCCCAGGTACCCCCAGGCTTTTAATTTTTTTTACATTTCTCTCATACAAAAGTAATACATAATAGGAAACTTAACTTCTGTTCTGTTTGGGTGAGCCAGGAAGCCTTCTTGCCTCATGTAAATGGAATGGCAGCTAGGCACTTCTGAAAGGAGAAGATGACAATGCAAGTCAAAAGACTGTCAGGAATTAAAAGTGTGCAGGTTATCAATGGGAAAAGCTGCAAGCACAACAGCAACAGAAAAGGATGCAGCTTATAGTGAGAGGGAACCTGTCAACACACAGCATTTCATAGCAGCACACATCACGCACGGCCAAGGAGAAAGTCATGAAGTGAGGCTCACAGATCCCACCTACCACAGGCACCTGAACTCCAAACCTCTTGTAATCAACTTTGCTAAAAGCTGACTGCCATGGCAATTACACTTTGGACCATTCACCAAAAAACCCACACCAGTGACCATGAATATTTTAAACCCTCTGCTTGTATATCTATCTTCGTATCTAATTCAACCCAAAGTTTTTAATCATTTGTGCTGAAAAGACTGCCAGTCACACTTATAAACACTACATTTACACAAGGAATGTCAAAGTGAATTTAGAGTAGGATAATGCTTTTTAGACTCTGGCTAAGGACTTGAAGGGTTAATGAAATTTTCTGCAGTTGCTAAGCATTTTATCTAGAAATTTAGGTCTATCTTTATCACTCTCCACTTCTATGTGTTTAAAACAAAAATGACACCTTAAAAAAAATACTGTGCATATTCTAAATAATACTGATATTTATTTGCTATTCTCCACCTCTACTCAAATCTGCAGGAAGAATGAGAAAAGCCAAATAGAACTAATGAAAAATGTATTCTTTAAACGTCTTTCTTTTTCTTCCCCATGTCTTGCACTGTCCCCAAGTAGTCACATCCTGTGCACAGGGATTTGCAAACAGAAACACACCGTAAATGTTTGCCCTTCTAGACCATGTTTAACCTACTTTTAGGATATCAAAAGTCTTGCTCAACAAAGTCTATTTGATCTTGTGATGAACTCCTACCCTAAGCTATGCAATCTGTTACCAGTAACTTGTAACTCTTTAAGAGATGCAAACAGAGGTCGAAAGAGCAGACATTATTTTTCCAACACCGCCTACAGACTCTTTCAGACTGTGATTCCAAATTTCACTGTTCACTGACTAGTGATGAGTATCAAAGATTTGGCAGGATAAGAAAATGAGGTTTTACACTGACTTCACAAACAAGTGAAACACAGGGCAGTAATAATAATAAGTTTCCTCTAACAGTCCATGGTCCCTCTTGCACATCTGTGCCAAACTCTTCATTACCTCCTCTCTTGATAAAACACCGGGTGCCTGCCTCCTCAGGCCTAGAGAATCTCTAATGTCTCAGGCAGCTATTCTGAGCAGCCACAGGAATCGGTGACTCAATGATCACCCCAGTCAAGTATAGCTCTGCAGGCTAGAAGTCAAGGCTACAAGCAGTGCTTCACCTGCAAGGAATCATTCATGTTAGCAAGTAGATTGAATTCTAAGGAGAATGGAAAAATCTACGTAAAAAAGAGGAAGCTGTAGAACTGAAACAGATGCTATTTTCTATTTTAGGTAAAGCTTCTCTAGTATTGGCAGCAAAGCCCTTTTTGACTCATGAACTCCGCTCCTGCAAAGTGATAGAGCAGAGTATACTGAATAAAGAATTACGCATGCATCCACAAAGTTGTCTTCTTAGCCAAGTTGGGGTTTCATCTCCCATGCTCCTAAGTCAATTATAATTAACATCTGGAGTCTCTTTAAGGCAAGCATTGTTTGTACCAACATTACTTAATCTTCTGGTTAGCTTGTGCTTAAACAGTCCACAGAGGACCAAAAAAATACAGCAACGAAGAGTTTATTTCTCGTAAAGTAACTAGAGTCTTGTTATCCTAAAGTGCTATCAGTTAATTTATGACTATCAGAGTGGGTCAGACTCTAATCAAATTGTAGAAACATTTCCAAAGTGATTATTCAATCAAATGACTAACATGGTTAATTAGGAGCCATAAACATTGCTCTGAAGTTCATCAAAGTAATGACTTGCCCAGAAAAATTACTGCTAATTAAATTGCCTGCTGCTTTCATTTCTACCTTATCTAATAAAAAGTCCAACCAATGAAATTTAGTATTGCAGTTTTAAATTGTACTAAATGCTTGACTAAGACCCAGAAGTATTTTTACATGCTAAGCGGAGCTACTTCAAAAGAAAACATTTTAGTGCAGAAATTACAGAGCAATTATATGTTTCCTTCTTCTTAAACCATTGTTTCAAGACAACAAATAAGACAGAAGCAAGCATGAAATACTTCCAGGGCAAGATCCAAGAGATGACTGATTGATCATCTATTTACAAGTTTTGGTCTTTGAAGAAAAATGTGCCTGGATTTAGACACACAACAAGCTTATTTCAGACTGTTAATGAAGTAATTCACATTGTAAGGTTACATCAGCTCAAGAACAGTAGAGCTCCTTAAAAGAAAATAAAAACAACAAAACAAAAAGCTATCTAAAAATATGGAAATGTAAAACAATTGCTTATCTTTTATTATTCTTTTGGAAAACTTAGGGGCCATTCTTAATTGCTCTTCTTATTAACAGAAACATAGCAATCATCTTAAAACAATGAATATGGTTTTATATCCTAGACCATGAAACCATTCTTTTCACAATAGGTGCTGTTTCAAAAAGTACACATAATCTAGACACTGCAAAAATGCCTTCTCATCCAGGACCGTCACAGAGAAAAATAATGGAAATAAGCTCTGCTATGCCTCCTTCAAAATACATCCAAGCAGAAAAAGCCCAAATAGACTTTCTCAGGACAAGAAAAATCTGCTATTGAACTTAGCAGGCACGGATTCTAAGTTTCATTATCAGGTAAGACACGAGTGGTCCCTTGGTAAGGTAGTTCCTATTAATTATCATGTCAGAATTTAAGGGGTTAGGTTGTTGCAGCTCTGTATAACTCAGAGTAGGTAAAGAATCCTTAAATCTTCTCTTCTGATTGGTTTTCAGATATAAGGATGAGATTTTGTTCCCATAATCCCACCCTGCAAAGAAAAAAAAACACAATTTCAGCCTGTGTCCTTAGGCAGAGTAGACACAGGGAAGATGGAGCTCCTGCAGGCAAAGGGATGAAATGACAAAACTCTGTTCTGTATTCTACAGGAGGAAGTGACTGACCGTCTTCTTCTGAATGAAGCAGAGCAAATCAGGAACTGGAAACCTGAACCAGGATTTATTTTTCAGCTGTTCCTGTTTCTGACTTTACACAGCCTCCCTAACTGAAGGGCAGGTTGTTATGTTACACTCTAACTCCTTTTTTAATTCTTTCTGAATTACTTTTCAGCTCACTTTATCGACATCAGCTGAAGGTCTGGAGGCCCAGGGCACAGCCCATGTGCTGGTGACAAAGCACAGTGCCATACAGAGGAGTGGCATTGCACATGTACGCGTGCAGAGGGGGAGATGTGGAGATGGAGCCTTAGAAGGCACAGGCCACCTGAAACAGGGTGGGATGAGAAAGGAACTGCCTGCCTGGCCTCACCCTCCATGTGACAGCTCAGGTGAAAACTGCACTGCACTGGCAGGCAGCTGCCTTAGTCAGGGAGCCTGTTAACAAGTCACCCAAATTCACCAAATACTCAACTCACAGTGAAACATGCCTACTTCCCTAAAGGTTTAAAACCAAGTGATAATAAGACTGTAACCTTCTTAATATTTTCCTGCCCACTTTTCCACTTACAATTTATTACCAAGTAATAGCATATTAACAGCAGATTCCATAAGGAACTGTTTCAAAAGGACCTGGTCCCCAACACATTGAAGGGACTTCACTGGAATCCTTGCACTTTCGCTTATACCATGTCCTTCTAAATTGTCCTTTTGGTCTGAAAAATAATTATCTGAATTTTGGCCCCTATTTCATTAATTCAGAGTTTGTGTGTCTATACAGATAGGCTTAAATGTGCCACTTTGCCTTCCCAGAGACAAGAAATGCAGCACCTGCAGATTCTCTCCCATTGTACTACTGGGTACAGGACATGCACAAGTCCCCTGGGTAGCTGGGACAAACCTGGAGTCACTCCCATGTGCCAGCCTGACCCTGTGAACACACCAGCCCTTCTTTTGGTGCCTTTCAGAGCTTCCCTTGCACAGTACAAGCACTTCTCTGCTACATGAGCAGGTGGTTGGTGTACTGGGAGAGATTTTTACCAAGTGCAGAGACAAAAGTAGCCTTTTAAAAATAAAATGTTCAAACTAGAACACATCATACTTTTGGCATTAAAACTTAAAACATCACAATATCACTGCAAATAACTTTTCTGTTCATGGATTTCCAAGAGCACTGACAAACTGTTTACAAAGGAGCACTTCATCCACCACTGAAACACATTCAGCCTCCTGGTGGAAAGCAGCTGTTTACAACATCACTGAGAAAGTTCTGACCAGCTCAAGGGTGAAGATAATAGTGAAATCACCAGAAAAAAGGACCTTTTTAGGTAAGAATGGCAGTTCTTCAAACAAGATCGCAACAAATCGCTCAGGTAGCACCAGGAGTCACTAAGAAAAATGCATGATTTGTGTTTTGCAGGGAAAAGTAACAAATTATTCTTTTGGATTTTTAAACCTGCAGAACACATTTATATTCAAACTCATATCTCCCCAAAAGGAGATATTCAGGTAAAAATACTGGAACTAATTACAAGAATTGCTTGAGAAATTGACCCACCACTCAAATGCTGGTGGATCAAGTTTTAGTTCAACCACCTTTAAAAGCTTTATCCCCTCACAAGCTATGTAATGAACAGAGTCCTACAAACTGGTAAAGTCCTGGCAATACAAAAGTTAGCACTATTTTTTTCAGTAGCAGATTCAGCATGAAAAAAAATGTAGGTGAAATGCACTGAAATTACATGGGTGAAAACAAATAAAAATTCTCTAAAAATCAATTTAAAAATCAGGCAATCTTTTCCCAAATCTTTATGTAATTTAGAAACATTCTGAATGAAGGTTTTATGCATTTTCTCAGTCACCAGCCTTTGTGCCAGCAATCTAGGAAAAAAACCAAACTTACAAGAATGTGCACTCATAGATACACATAC